GGGTTTTTACAGGAATTCAAAATTTGAAAATTCCCAGAAAAATTGGGGATTAATTGGTGCAGAAAAATGAAGAATATGAACAGGGATTTGTTCGATCCAAGAACGGTGATGGAATCAGAATATGATAGGTCACCGAAAGAGGGGAATTTCGGGTTTGCTTTTAATGATAGCAATTTTTCGGACCGTGTTCTTCGGATCGAGGTTATGGCCGGACCTTCCGATTCTAAATCCGACGCCGATGGTTGTTGTAGTCTCTTTGATTGGGCTCGTCATCGCAAGCGTAGGCGTGAGGATTTTAAGAAAGATGTTCTCATTGATGATCATAACATTGATGGTATGATTATTTTCAATTTGTTCTTTTGGAATTGAACTGGGTTTTGATGAAATTGGTTGTTCATTTGATTTTTGCGTACGTTAGGTGTAATGATTTTCTGGGTTGTTTTTTATTTGGTGGAAATGAAATTAGGTGAATTAGAGATTTAGAGTGGTTATTGAATTACAAACCAATTGCATGTTTAATGAATGAAATTAACGGAAATGAGGGAAAATTTTGAGTGTTATTGGAAGGATGAAGCTTAAATTTGGTTCATAGAGGAGCATTGTTAGGATTATGAAGTGGGAAGTTTACATAAGCTGCTACTTAATCCGTGGTTTGATTACATGTTGAATATCTCTTTAGTTGGTGTGGGTAATTGCTCTTGTTTCGGGTGCGAAATGTTTGATTGACTGAAGGGCTGAGGAATTTAGGTTCCGCATAGGAGTAATGTGCAGCCCCTTTTGAATGTAGTTACGTCTTGGTTCTGAGGGTTTGACATTGTATTTGTGTTGTGTCTTGCAAGTATGAAATGCTGCTCCATATCTTCCATTTTACGCAGTTAATCATCGTTTAATCTGTTTGTATATTTGTTGTTGTGTCCTGTGCATGAAATTGTTAAGGCAAAGGACTTCTCATATACTATCTCCGTTTCATATTATTTGCAACGATTAGACATTTTTCCTCTCTACTTTATGTCAAATCGTTGCAAATAATATGAAGCGGAGGTAGTATATGACGTGTGTGGTTTAGTTTAATTTTCTTCAGGAATGTGGAAATAAAGAGAAATGAGTAAGGATCTTATGTTGGGGAATACTTGTGGTAACTTTTCTTCTGTATGTTTAGCAGTAACTTGTTCAAAATTTCTTTACTTAGAATATACCTTGACAATGTATATCAATTAATGGATTAGCGCTTTTATTTCTTTGAATTGTATGTTCGGCTTCATGTGTTTAACTAAGGTTATGTATGTGATCATTGTTAACTTATCATTGTCTCATCAGGTACAGAAGTTACTGTGTGTCCTGAGGAGCAGGTTTTGAATCAATATGATGGCGATGATGGTTTAGCATGTGAAAATGATGATGAGGAAGCTGTTGCGATGGTTGAAGAAGTACCTTCAGGTGGTTGAATATTTCAACTCTTATTTGCACAATTTCAGCTCTGAATTTAAATTCATTTTGAAAATTAAATTTACTATACTGCTGATCTTTTTAGTGATGTTTAATTTCTATATTTGAGGAGAATTGCAAGATTTGTTTGCATAAAGATCAAATATTGTCTTGTTAGTACTTTCCAGTTACAAGGTCATTATCTGGAATCTGATGAAAAGTACAGATTATAGAACTGCTGGCTTCATGATTATTTCATGAGTATCTATACATCTTTGTTCTTCTTGCTCTGAAGTCTCCATTAAACTCTGAATTGTAGACAGTTAGACACCTGATAAATATATGCTTAGTGTAGATACAACTGATGGAGTTGGTATCACCTTCTGAGTGAACACTTGAGCCCTAAACATAATAACATGCAAGAGATGTTGGTGTTACTATTATATAATGATCAACTATTCCAATAGCAACGGTCTTAATTGTTGTTTTATCATTGTAATGCTTTCCTAATGAGAACCCATTTTGATGTGATGGAAGGAATTTTCCCATTTGATCCTTATTATCTTCGTGCTCTAGGAACTTTATTAAGATCTTCTTGCACAACTCCTTTCATCCAAGGTCCACAAGCCTGCCTCTGGGGGAAGGAGCTGAAGCTGTAATTCAGTTTAATTCAGTTCCTACATTGTTAATCTTTCTGAAAAACCTATATTTAATTAGACATCATACTTTTTTTTGTTCTATTCTCGGTGTAGGTTGTTATATTCATAGTTTCCTTGTGTGACTGTATAGGAGATGAAGGGGCCAATAGCAATGATTCATCATGGAGCATGGAATGTTCAACAATCGTGAATGTGCAAACCTTGCATATCAGTTCTCCTATCTTAGCAGCCAAAAGTCCTTTTTTCTATAAGGTAGCTTAAACTTTCTCAGTTACTAGTCACACCACGTCAAATCTACTTGTACAAGTCCTAGTTGGTGATACTTTAATTTCTTATTGTTTATTTTGGTGCAGCTATTCTCGAATGGTATGAGGGAGTCTGAACAGAGGCATGTGACTTTACGCATTAATGCATCCGGTATGCTCTCAAGCCTTGCTGATTTATTATCCAGCGCCTTTTAAGTTTTGTTTAGATGCATTTCAGTGACATCTTCTTACCCCTCCCTTGCGAAAAACTGGTTGGCTGACCATCTTGCTTTGAAGTGAAAGATTTATTTTTACTTAAAATTATTTTCTCACAATATGTTTCTGCTTTTTTTTATGACAGAGGAAGCTGCTCTAATGGAGCTTCTAAACTTCATGTACAGCAACACCTTATCTGCAAATACAGCCCCAGCCTTGCTTGACGTATTAATGGCTGCGGATAAATTTGAGGTTGCTTCATGTATGAGATATTGTAGTCGTTTGTTGCGTAATTTGCCTATGTCCCCTGAGTCTGCTCTACTTTATCTTGAGCTTCCGTCCAGTGTTTTAATGGCCGAGGCAGTTCAGCCATTGACTGATGCAGCAAAGCAATACCTTGCTGATCGTTACAAGGATATTTCCAAGTATGTTTTTTTCTCACTTCTGTAGAATGTAGAATCTAGGCTATTCACTGTTCTGCTCCAAATAAGAGCTCCGTTAATGCTGTAATTCCAAATATGTTATTCCCCCCTTTGTTTTGAGCATGCCTTTCTTGCATGAGTGATTTTTTTTTTATTTGATGAAATGCCTTAATGAGAGTTTTATTCTTTGAAGGTTCCAAGAAGAGGTCATGGCTTTACCCATTGCTGGAATTGAGGCTATTCTTTGCAGTGATGATCTTCAGGTGGCATCTGAGGATGCAGTTTATGACTTTGTCTTGAAGTGGGCCAGGGCTCAATTCCCGAAACTAGAAGAGCGCCGCGAAATTTTGGCCACCCGTCTCGGTCGATTCATTCGCTTTCCATACATGACCTGCCGGAAGTTGAGAAAGGTTCTAAGCTGTCCAGACTTTGATCATGAGGTGTCATCCAAACTTGTTCTTGAGGCACTCTTCTTCAAGGCTGAGGCTCCACATCGACAACGAATATTGGCTGCAGAAGAATCAGCCTCCACAAACCGTCGCTTTTTAGAACGTGCTTACAAGTATCGCCCTGTTAAGGTGGTTGAGTTTGAACTTCCCCGCCAGCAGTGTGTTGTGTACTTGGATTTGAAGAGGGAGGAGTGTGCAAATCTATTCCCATCTGGTCGAGTATATTCTCAAGCGTTTCATTTAGGTGGGCAAGGATTCTTTCTGTCAGCCCATTGCAACATGGATCAGCAGAGCTCCTTTCATTGCTTTGGGTTGTTCCTGGGAATGCAGGAGAAAGGGTCAGTAACATTTGCAGTTGACTATGAGTTTGCTGCAAGGTCGAAGCCCACAGAAGACTTTCAGAGCAAATACAAAGGAAACTACACATTTATGGGGGGTAAAGCAGTTGGTTACAGAAATCTGTTTGGGATACCATGGACCTCGTTTATGGCAGACGATAGCCTTTATTTCATCAATGGCATCCTGCATCTTAGAGCCGAGCTCACCATTAGGCATTGACTTGAATTTGTGTCTTCCTCAAAAAACTTTTGGCAATCTTTGCTATCCTTGAAAACTTTTGTGTTATTGTAACTTTCCCTTTCTTAGGGCTTCACAGGAACCGTACATTTTAGGGCAATATAGACGAGCTAACATGTAACTTATCGTTTTAGTATGTGAGAGATCAAAATTAATGGGATCTCACAATGTTGTCCTTGCGGATAGGCCTGTAAAGCAGAGGAGATTCAATGTAAATGTGCTTGAGATGTTGTATTAACCACCAACTTGTTATGCTGCTCCAGTATGGGGTTACTCATTCTTCATTTCTACATGAAATGCCTATGAAGTATTAAAGCCTTGCCTTATTCTTTGTTTACGGAGGGTTATAATCGTTTATGGTATATATACAATGAAGTCGATGTTACCAAAATTAGAGATTTCATTTCAAAATACTCTTCATCTAATTCTCCTGGAAATTGGGCTACTCTAGGCACAAATTGAAGTGTATGTAGTATGGTTTCCTAAGGTCACTCAAGTGTTAATGGAAGTTTAATTTCCTTTGAAGGCTTATCTTTCATACGAGTACTTGTCATAATATTCGAGAAGAGAAGTGTATATTACACTCAAGTACAGATTGCTTACCACCTTTCAAGCATTGTCGTTCGGAATTGATTCTTTATCAATGGTCACCCTTTTTCGAGCGTTGTCATATCAAACATTAACATATAAACCTATAAAAAATGTATACGTTAAACTTGTTATATTTAAAAATTAAACTTGTGTAATCTTTATAAGAGTTTATCGGGAATTATTATTCTTGAAGTTAAATAATCCGAACTTTATAAATCCTTAACTTTTTAAGAGTTAAAATAAGGTGAAATGAATTGGGTCTGAGTATTCTTAAATTCGGAATCGGGTTCGACACAAGAAGCCCACAAACAAAACCGACACAAACTAGTCCAATAAGAAAAAGCATAACCGACCCAAGCTGAGATACTCCGTGGCCTCCACGCTATCTATATAAACCCCCACAATCCGATTTGAACACGAATTAAAATTAAAAAACAATATAAAATCGACCTCATCTATTTTATTACTCGTATTTCTATTCTGAATTCCGAATTGAAAGAAAGAAGAAAAGAGGGAAAGGAAAACCTAGAAACACCCAAATCAATCAGAACCGTCCTTTCTAGGGTTTACTGTTAGAGAGAGAAAGCCCAAGCGAAAGAGAAGAGAGAGAAAGAGTCGAAGATGCCGAAGAACAAGGGAAAGGGAGGAAAGAACAGGAAGAGAGGTAAGAACGAAGCCGATGATGAAAAGAGAGAACTTGTATTTAAAGAAGATGGACAGGAATACGCTCAAGTTCTTCGTATGCTTGGTAATGGCCGATGTGAAGCCATGTGTATTGATAATGCTAAGCGTCTTTGTCATATTCGTGGTAAGATGCATAAGAAAGTTTGGATCGCTGCTGGTGATATCATCCTCGTTGGTCTCCGTGATTATCAGGTTTTTTTCTTCAATTAATTCATTGATTTTTTTTTTTTTTTTTTTTTTTTTTTTGTCTAGGGTTTGGTTGTTGTTGTTGTTGAATTGATTGATTGATTTTCCGTGGTGGTTTCGAATTTTGATTGGATTTAAGAAATTCAAAGAGATGAAGAAATTGTGTTTGAATTTTTTTTTTTTTATTACGAGCTAGATTATTGTTCAATTTAACGTGTTTTATGCTTTGATTTATATTATATGTTCGTTATAATATAAATCATTAACCTATAGATGTGAAATTCTGGAAAATACGAAAGCTTTTGTCAATTTAACACGGAATTAACTGTCTTTATGGTATAGTTCAATCATTTGAACGCTATTCTGCTTGTAATTGATGATGATTGTGTTAGTATTATATTCAATAATTGAGCAAAAAAGAGGATTATTTTGATTGCGTTTTATGGCCATCAATATTGACTAGTAATTTTGAAGGGTACGCTTTTCAGCTTGCTTTTAGGTAATTAATCTTTAATCGTACTTATGAGTTTTAAATTGGTTGTGCAATTGAGACTAAACTCTGTTTTTGATTGTATATTCGTCGCAATGACCATCAATACTGACTAGAGTGTTGATGTAGAGTTTTGTCTTGCTTTAATGCAAGTAATCATACATATGAGAATGGATTCGTGGATTGATCGATTGTTCAATTGACACTAAACGCGGTTATTGATTGTGTTTTTGTCGCAATGACTGGAGTGTAGATGTGTAGTTCTGTCTTGCTAAATTGTTTGAAGTAATACGGTGTAATAGGTACTTGTGAGGATGGATTGATTGATTGTTTGCTTGGTTGTGCAATTGAGACCAACTTTGCTTTTGCTTGTGTGTATAGGATGACAAGGCCGATGTTATCCTTAAGTACATGCCCGATGAAGCCAGGTTGCTGAAGGCTTATGGTGAGTTGCCCGACAACATCAGGCTTAACGAAGGTATCAGCAATACCATGGATGAGGACGAAGAGGGTGATGGTGAAGAATACATTGAGTTTGAGGATGAAGATATTGATAAGATATGAGCAATCTAAGTTTGTTCTGCTTAAAATGCAATTTTACTTCTGCCGAACCTTTGTTGTCAACTACATTTTCTGAGTTTGATTAAAAGAAATTGATGTACTAATCTCTTTACATGCGTGAATTACTATTCGAGTGGTAATTGTTTGATATTTATGCTCAAGGCATTTGATGGCTCAATAAATATACAGTCCATCTCTAGACTATCCTCCTTGTGTAGTTGTATGTGTCAAAAATATTGCTCCAGTCTTCAATTGATTTAAAGAATTTACTTGCCTAGAATGTGTAATTGTCAAAATTCAATTACAAATTAACAGCCCTAATTTGGTATATTGGTGAAAGTGAGATGTTGAATTCAAAATCGAGGATAGTTGAGAAAGACTTGGTTCTCAACGTTGGGCAAATTATGAATGTAATAAATTGTCTCTCATTGTTCCTGTCATTGAGGTTAGATTAACTTCGATCAAAAATATCATACACTATGAGTTAAGAATTTAGATTAACTTGCTCAACAAATACGATACAATGTGAGTTTTGGTTACTCAAATGTGTAGTTCAGTATGTTATTTGGCAATCCTTGGGAGGTGCTAATTCAGATAACATGTCGGAGTGGTTTGAAATGTAACTGAGGTACTACTTTGACAAGTAACTATCAAATGTTCTTCTTACCTCTTATAGCAAAAAATAATTTAAAAAATAATCTTACTTTAATATACCAGTAACAAAATAAAGGCAAGAGAAACCAAGGTTTGTGATAAGAATGCAGCATGCTAAGCACCACAAAAACTGTGCTGTAGAACAAGATTATCAATATGAAAGGATAAATGGTCTATCCCTAATAAGCACCAAGTTATTCAATTTGCAACTCCAATGTCGTAAGCCAGGTACACTCTTAATGCTTGCCTTGCGCAATAGTCTGAGGCTCCATTTCATCGGAATCTGAAATACAGGGATCTGCAAGATGTCAGTTAAAATAAAAAAAAAGCTAGAATTTTGGAGGCATAAAAATACAATGAAAGCATTAAATGTTGATAGTATTCTCGTTTGAGTACAGTCATCTTTGTTATCTTGGATTTACATCAATCAACAACTCCGGCACTATAATGCAACACACAGCTGACTCAACTGTCTGCAACTTGACTTAAATGACTCTATCAGCATGACAAAGAAGATGGCATTAAATCTGTAGAACAACCTACAAATCATAACATTGGCCAATTTATAATATCACTCTGTACGATCAAAGTCATCAAACAACATGATGAATTGATGATATGTTTCTCTTACTGACTCATGGGGTCTCATGGCTCTCACACCATGGACATAAGTGTTGATCATGGTTTGAGATCAGATGCAGATTCAATAAAATTCTTCACAAGAATAGGCAGTTGTCCCTACAAAAGGATTGGATCTAATACCAGAGTTTTAAGCTTCTAAGTTAGGCCTTGGAATGCCTGCATGAGAGGCCAATTTTCTACAGATGTTCCACCATTTGTTTAGGACAGAAAAAGTTGGATTAGGTGATAATAAAACTAGACATTATTCAACATTTCCAACTTTCTAATGACTCGACGTTGAGATTTGTCGTGTCCCTGGAAGAGGGCATAAATTACGACCTTCACTCCGTCTGCCCCTTAATATAGTGTTACACAGAGAAATGGCACGGAGATTATAAGGTGAATGAAAAGAACTAAGTTACAAAGTGGGTAGGTGGGTGTGCAGTCAAGCTTTAGTGAAACTATAGAGAGGAAAATCTTACTATAACTGTCGTTTAGCATGAAAATTCAAAATGAGTCCTTACAAGAGTCCCAAGAATGAATGAGATTTCTAGGGCCAACCCAGGTCAAACTACGGTGGAAACTAGCACATGTAATTCCCAATCTTTCAACAGAGTGTTCTAAAGGTTCTTTCGGTGGGGCCTATGACTTTACCTGGTCTCGGGTCTTGTGTCAACTTCATTCTCAAAGGTTAATCTTCATTCTCTAAGGTGATTAGGCCAATTATTAAGGCACCCTTCCTATTTCCGCTCTAAATTAAACATTGAGCTTTAAATTAAACAGCGAGTTTAATGTCATAATTGAGAATCCTGATGTAATTTCAGGATTGGTGTCATAAATATAAATAGATGAACAATATGGTAGATCTTGGAATGCCACCAGGGGAGCAGGAACCTTCCCTTTGTTCTTTCTCAGATTTTCTCCCAGATATTCCAACCCCTAAGCAAGTTCCACAATGACCACAACATGGCTCATGACTTTAGTCAAACTGAAGTAATGTTAGTTAATTTGTTTGTTCATAAAAAACAAGAGTGTAATAACTTCCCTCTAATTCATGGAAAAAAATTGTCAGCTTCCGTTTGGCTCTTGCATGAGGTAGCCTTCAAGAGGGGATCTTAATAGGCGGTACATATGACAAGGGTAGTTAGAGAGTTGAGGCATAACTATTCCTACCTTAAAAGCACATGTCAAGCACAAATACTAAAAACAAGTACAGTCCACTTGTGTAATCAAAATCTAATGCATAGACATAAAGTAAACATCTCATCTCAGGAGCCTTTCTACAACCCTCTAAGTACATAACGGATTGCAGGAAATCCACCAGTTTTGCTTTAATGCAGAGGGAGGTTTGCAACTGTATTTAACCATTTTAGTCTCTACTTTTGCAATATCACAGTTTTCCTGTTAAACTGTTTGAAATGTGTGTTAAGTATAGCTCTACCCGGGAAAATGGGGTAGCGGTGATAGGTGGAATGGGGTAATATTGTAATACATCCCATTTCTTCTTTCCCCAGCATTATAATACATCCCTTCTACCACTCTCTAATCCCATCATTCTCATCATCAGTTCTTTTTTCCCTATAGCCCAAGCATGCCGTGTGAAAGACAAAAAATTGATTATGTAATTTCCATTCCTTAATATCACCATCTATTTTCTGAGTTTCAGAACCAATTCTTTCTTCACTTTAAGCCTAAAAGGAAACTGATGCTTGCTACACAGGTTTAAGAAACTATACCTTTCCCAACTCACATTCATGTTTCAACTTCAGCTAAGTGCCTCCAAAACCTATTATCTCCTTTATGTAGTCATTGTGCATAACTGTACCAATTTTAAAGTAAATATTATTTAAACATGAAGGGTAAAGTGTGATAATGATTCACTGTTTTATTAAATTAGACTTTAAGCGCAGCTTTATATCCCTGCTCATAATTTTTTTTTTTGCTGATTTATGAAATGATGTCTGTAAGGGGCAGCAACTACCCACTTTGGTTGCTAGAAGAAGTGAAGTACAAAGATAGCAAGACACAGTAATATATGCAAACACAAGAATTTACCAGATATAATTAGAGCTGTCAAAAGTTGACCCGACCCGAAATACAGACTCAAACCCGAATATTAACCAACCCATCTGAACCCGAAAAAATGGTGACCCAAACCCGACCTGAAACAAACCCTAGACCCGAGTTGACCCGAGTATGTGAGACCCGAACCCGAACATGAAATGACCTGAAGATGACCCGACCCGAATGTAACCCGTAAATTATTGACCTGAACCGAACCCGACTTGAACCAAAATTGACCCAAACTCGTTTTAACCGGTCAAAACCCGAATTTAACCCGACTTGTTACTAACCTGACCTAAATTCAACCCGACCCGTTCCCAACCCAACCAGTTACAAACTCAACCCGAAATCAACCCGACTTATTATTGACCTGACCCAAATTCAACCCGACTTGTTATTGACCCGACCCGACCCAAATTTTACCAGAACTATTATTAACCCGACCCAAAAATTAAACCTGATCTGTTACTAACCCGACTCGATATCAACACGACTTGTTGTTGACCTAAATTCCACCCAAATTGTTCCTGACCCGATTTGAAATCACCTTAAACGCAATTTAGACCACCTTATTATTGTTAACCAAAGCATTTTGTCTAGGAAGACCAAGTCGGTCCAGGCCAGCAAAAGAAAGGAGCATCATCCTCAAATTTAAGAGTTAATATAGTATATATTTGTTGTATGGTCAAAGGAGATAATTATCTTCATAAATTATAAACTATAATTCCCTAGTATATTGCCATATATATTATAGTCAAAAGAAATAATTAGCTGGATAAAAATGATAATTATCTATTTATAATTAGTTGAACCCGAATATGACCTGACTTGGAAATGACTCGACCTGATTGTCACAGGCAAATTATTAACTTGAACATAACCCGACTTGACTCCGAGAATGATCCGACTTGAATTGACCCAACCTGATTATAGTCCGTAAATTATTGATTTGAATCGAACCCAACTTGAACCCGAGAATGACCCGACTTGAAAATGACCCGACCTGATTATAACCCGCAAATTATTGACTTGAACCGAACTCGACTCAAACTCGAGAATGACCCGACCTGATTCTAACCCGCAAATTATTGACTTGAACCGATTCCGACTTGAACCCGAGAGTTACCCTAATCCGTTTTAACCCGTGAAAACTCGAATAAAACCCAACCTATTATGCACCCCGTCCGAATAGAACCCGACCTAAACCCGATAAGTATGACCTAACGTGACCCGATTAAAGCATAACCCAACCCAAACCCGACCCGCATAGGTTATGAAATTAATTCGAATTGACCGGACCCGAGTTGACCCGACCCACTCTTACCGACCCAAACATGACCCGTTTATCCAAATTAACAGCTCTACCCGAAACCTCCAAAAATTTTCAAAAAGCGTGGATACTAGTCTTCAATTTTAGAATTTTTTGACATTTTTTCACCCGAAAATAAAAATTGCCGAAGCGTTACTATGGTCCCTAATACCCGCTTGGAGTCCAATTGGCTTGGTGGAATCATCCAATTTGCCTTTAAACGATCAATTTACCGGTTTACAACTTGCACCGATTTCAATAACTCAAGCTTACCACGAACATTTATGACAACATTCAAAGATCACACATGGATCCAAACGACATTATATGACCCCGAGATGTATCCCTCAAAATCTCAATGCTTTTCGACACCGGGCTCTGAAACAATCGAAATTTCTCAAAATCCGTGGATATAAGCCTTCAATTTTGGAATTTTTTGACTTTTTTTCGCCCGGATATAAAAATTGACGAAATGGTTACCATGGTCCCAAATACCCTTCGTGAGTCCAATTGGGTGGGTGGAACCATCCAATTTGCCTTTAAACGACCAAATTACCGGTTTACAACTTACACAGATTTCATTAATTCAAGCCTAACGAACATTTATGACAACAAATAATGATCATA